TGTTGGCGCCCGCGCCCTTGAAGAGCGACTTGACGCCCTCGTTCTTGACAACCTGGCTGAAGCAGTCGATGGACGAGTTGTACTTGACGGCCTGCCCGCTGGTCATCATCATGCGCCGCCGCACGGTGTCGATGGGGTAGCTGGCCAGGCCGGCGCCGATGGTGATGCCCCAGCCCAGCAGGAAGGAGGCCGCAAAGTTGTCCGCCAGGTCGCCGACCAGCAGGACAGGCTTGAGGCTGTCGTACATGCCAAAGTACAGGCCGCGGTACACCACGATGCCCACGCACGAGATCACAAAGCCGCGGTACAGGCCCGCGATGCCGTCGGACGCGATGGTCTTGCGGTACACGTCCACCATGCCGTTGAACTCGCGCGTGCCGCCCTTCTTGGCGCTCTTGTTGTCGTTGGCCAGGCGCGTACGCGCGTAGTCCAGCGAGTACACAAACGCCAGAGACGTCGCGCCCGCAGCGCCACCAGATGCCATGTTGCCTGGCAGGGTTGCACAGGGTTGTGAGGGCGGGGATTGGGGGTCACATAACAGGTTGGGTGGGGGGTCAGCCTGCAGGCGCTGTTCAAGGGTGCACTGACAGTAACGCTGTCGTGCTGCTGCCGCTGTAGCAACAGAGCTGCAGATCCATGATCACTGTTCCACTGGACATGGAGCCTGTTGTCGAGCCCACCCCACTCGCCCCAACCGCCCCTTGCTACATGGCTTGGCAAGCGACAGCCACCGCGACCCTCCACCCCCGCACTCCACCCCCCGCTGACCGGCAAACCATGCCCAGTAGCCGTCACGGTCCTTGTTGAAGGCGAACAGGCGCTTGTAGTAGTCCTTGAAGGCAAAGTTGAGGGCCTGGGTGGGGAAGTACCGCACCACGTTGGCGGTGTTGCCGCGCCACAGGCTGACAACACCCTCGTCGGCCACGACCTTCCTGAAGCAGTCGCCGATGCCCTTGTAGGGCTCAGACAGGCGGCCCTGCTTGATCATCTCGTCCTGGTTCTGGATCAGCAGCTTCACGCGCTCGATGGGGGCGGCGGCCGTCTTGGAGACAGCGGCGCTGGGGGAGGGGGGGACCGAGCATCGCGCAACAGCAACGAGATGACGATGGCGGTTGGATGGTGCACAGAATCGCCAGTACGGACGTATGCGCCAACAAGACAGCAAGAGCCGAGCGATTGCCCAGCAACATGCACAGAGTGCTGTCTCTGCCTTTGACGCACGACCAGCCAGGCCGCCGTGTGCGGCGGCCGATCAGCAGCAGAACATCGCAGCACCGCCAGCCAGCACTGATCGCCTGTGCAGCGCTTGTGCCAGGCACATCCAAGCATGCCCTTCCCTAATGCCCCCACGCTGCTCACGAGACGCCTCCCATGAGGAAGTCGACCAAAAAGTTCTTCTCCACCTTCGCTGGCTTGCCGGTCGCCATGGCTGCTACTGGCGCTGCTTAAGGTGACTCGAAGGGGAGGTGATAAGGAGGACAAGCCCTGTGCTGGGGCTGTCAAAGTGGCGGGCTGGAAGAGCCCTGATCTAGCCGGGGAAGGGCTCCGGAGCAGCAGCAACGACTTGCTGGCTGCAATGTGAAGCCTGTACTGACAAAGTAACACGCGGGACTGCGTATAAGACGGCCGAGAGCCGATTTGGCAGGTGGGCCCTGGAAGGGAGGCAGCGGGGCGGTGGTTGTTGCCGAATGCCGCCGCATCCGCAGTTTGAGGGCGTATACCGGTGGGGAAGACATCAACTGTCGTGTTCTCATGTACGGTTTTCCTCGGGGCCATGATGTCTGCGGCCCCAGATCACGCCCAGGTCAACGCCAGCGACTGTGCCGGAGGCAGCGCGCGGGCAGGAGCAGGACGCACCAAAGCCGGCAAGGGTCCGCTGGCAGGTGCATGCTACGCACTCATGTGCACACTCATGTTATGACACGCGGTGCCACGCACGCCTCAGTAATGCGGCGTCCAGGGCAGCGTCGCTGATCAAGTGTCCTAAAAAGTAAGATGGCAATTTCAGTTGCCCGCAACTCCTTTTCATAAGCGGGCACCTGAGAAGGCCACCCGGAAGTGATAGCGTGGGATGCTCAAGGTATACGGTACTGCATGTTCTGTATCGTGATATCATATGTGATGGGGGGTGAGCAAGCGGTACAAACGCCCTCAGTGCGAACGTTCCGGCGACCTCAACCGAAAAATCAACCTCCACCCCTGCCTGGTTGATGAGGGCACTTCCCAAGACCTACGATCTTCAGTTCAGCTGATCTTGACTGTGGAACACTTCTCACCCCGGCACGTCTTTCGGAACATGTTGCATTGCGAACTTGACAGCTTGGCCTCCACTTTTTGATGTACCGTGTCACACGCGTACCAAAATTTTCAGCTCAATATTGGATTTGCGTCGTTCATTGCCACGTGGACAGCCAAAAACCAGCAAGCTGTGCGCCCACTGTGTGGGCGCAGCGCGTCGGAGTAGACAATGCGGTGCCAGCAGTCGCATTTACTGGCCTCAAACTTGAGCGGAATGCAGTGTAACGCCTAGGCACCACAGCTTGCCAACCACTCATGCCCTCTGCGTCGCACCCCACCCTGCACGGAAAACAAGCTGCCGATGCACTGTTTTGCAAGGCAGTGCAATTCGCAGCGCCATTGTGAAGCCACGCGTCCGACACACAGATCACATTAATTCATCGTCATTCGATTGTGGTGAAAATGCCCGCTGATAGCGCATAGATCAACTCGTGGCACGCAGATCATTCGTGTTGTGGCTGCTGCCGCTGGAGAATCATGGGAGCATTTGCACTAGCCTCGATAGCATGGACCCGCGCATCCGCGAATGGCAGGTGCGTCGATCATCTCGCTTGCGCCATGCACCTTCATCGCTATTGCTGCTTGCCGTGCGCAGTGCAGTCACCCACTGCTCAACTGTGTCTTGCGGCTGCACGCGTCCTTGCTCTTCTGTATGCTGATCGAGACATGCAATGCGCACAGGGCGTTTGTGTGGGGCCAACATACTGCGGGCTTGCAACTGCGACAAGGGAGCAGGAGTGCCGCGTCAGCACTTGCAGCACTGACGGCAGCTGCGGGCCTCACTGGCGCCGTGGCGTGGGCAGGCCCTGCGAGAGCCGCAGCCGCGGCCGAGAGTGACGAACAGCCGCCTGGTGACCAGTTCGTCGATCTGCCAACGGAGAAACTGTCCTGCAATCGCAACGCCGCGGCGCCGCGCACCCCAGTGGTGCTTGTGAGCGCGGGCAGCTTCAACCCCCCGACATACATGCACCTCCGCATGTGCGAAGTCGCCGTGCAGGAGCTGGCACAGGTGCGCTGACAGGCGGCGTGGCAGGGGAGGGGCTGGAGGGCGGAAAGCGCAGTCGCCGGGTGTGCGGTAGCAGCTGGGCCCCGGACCGTGTTGCTGTGTGCTGTCAAGAGGTTGGCTCAATCATATGGCGGTCAACCCCTGCTCGCCTGCGCTCTCCGCCGCCCCTCTGGTGCACCTTGTCCAACTCAATCAATGCAAAACGCATTGGTGTACACTCCTCGCAGCGTGGCTACGACGTGTGGGGCTGCTACCTGTCGCCTGTCGCCGATTCCTATGGCAAGCAGGGCCTCGCCCCGACACACCACCGCGTCGCCATGTGCCGGCTGGCGACAGACGGCTCCCACCTCATCATGGTGGACGACTGGGAGGCGCGGCAGCCGGGCTACACGCGCACACTGCAGGTGCTGCGGCATGTGCAGGCGGAGCTGGGCAAGCTGCCCTGGTGGGACGAGGCCACCGCCGCTGGCAGTGAGGCCGCTGCGCCGGCGGACGGCGCTAGCTGCAGGGACAGCAGAGGCAGCGGAGACGCAGTGGTGGCCGCAAGCAGCGGCAGCAGCAGCAGCAGCAGAAGCAGCAGCAGCAGCAGCAGCAGCCAAAGAGGACCCACTGCCGGAGCGGATGCAACGCAGGGTGGCGAGCAGCAGCGTGTGCGTGTCATGCTGCTGTGCGGCGCCGACCTGCTTGCGACGATGGCGGCGCCGGGCGTGTGGATGGAGCCCGCAGCTCTGCTGCGCGAGCACGGCGTGGTGTGCGTGGACCGGGACGGCACAGAGCTGGAGCAGCTGCTCAGCGGCAGCGGCGGCAGCAACGTGCTGAGCGAAAACCGCGAGGCCATCATCGTGGTGCGCGACCCCGTGCCCAACGCGATCAGCAGCACCCGCGTGCGCGCGGAGCTGGAGGCAGGCCGCAGCGCGGCGTACCTTGCGCCCGATGCGGTGCTGCGGTACGCGCGGCAACATGAGCTGTACGCAGGCGGCACTGGTGGCGGCAGCTGTGGCGGCGGTCCCTGACTGGGCTGGCTTCTTGTTCAGCTGCTCGCTGTGTTGTACATTCTCTTGCATGCCTGTGCGAATGCCTGTGTTGCCCTTGTTGCACCCTCACCTGTCTTTTGCGTTGCAAAATCTTCTACTGGTTTGATTGCCAGCTCTATCCTGCTTATGTGCCTCTCAGGCCATGATGATAGCCATTTGGTGGCAACTTGCATCACCTTGCTGAGGGTTGGCGATGCCACACCACCTGACTGCCATGCCACACCGTACACCGTGTGGCTGATAACAAACCAAGGCAATGGTGGGCACCATATTTAAATCCTTTGATACTGCTGTCAAGCCAACCCATGATCTTCTACCGTACCGCACATGCTTGGGACAAAAAAAAGCAGCTTGCTACTGCTGTCAAGCCAACCCATGATCTTCTACCGTACCACACATGCTTGGGACAAAAACAAAAGTTGCGTGGGGAGAGTTGGCTTTGGCCAGGTGGCCGTGCTCTCCTTCTGGACTCCGTTCCATGGGCATGTGACTACACTATACTGCTCAAGTTCAAGACAGCTCCCAATCAGCTAGCAAAATCCTGCTCTCACCGGCTGACTGGTGCCCGGCTGCGGCTGCGGTGGTCACTCTCTCTCTGGCGTTGACCTCAGCGTGATCTGACGCAATCGGCGTATGGCCGTGCGGGCGCGATCCTGCAGAACCTGTAAACCCTAGCGGGAGCACTTGCATAGCCTTGATTGGCTGACACGGCCGTTTTCGAGCACAACCACCGCCCCGCTGCCTCCTTCTAAAGCCCGCCCAGCAAACGGGCTCTCGGCCATCCCCAGCCCCAGTCCTGCGCGTTGCTTTGCCACCACAGGCCTCGCCTTGCAGCCAGCGCGTTGTCGCCGCTGCCCCAGAAACACCCTTCCGGCTAGATCAGGGCTCTTTCCAGCCCGCCACCTCGACAGCCCCGGCACAGGGCTCCTCGTCCTTGGTTTCTTCGTCCCTCGCTCTTTGCAAGCAACTTGAGCAGCGCCAGCAGCAACCATGGCGACCGGCAAGCCAGCAAAAGTGGAGAAGAACTTTTTGGTCGATTTCCTCATGGGAGGCGTCTCGTGAGCAGCGTGGGGGCATGAGGGAAGGGCTTGGGACGCTTGCTTGCACCCGGCGCAGCTGTGCAGGCGATCGGTGCTGGCCATGGGCAGGGCTGCCGTGTTGTGCAGCGGACCGGCCGCCGGTTGCGGCGGCCCAGCTGCTCGTTGCCCCTGGGCACAGTGTCTCTGTGAACCATACTGGCGACATACTCGGCCCCTGGTGTCTTGTCTGCCAGTTTTGAATGCCTCCATGCTGGCGGTTATACAAGCACCAACCAACCGCCTGCAGCTCATGTACACACCCTGCTGCCATCCCCCCCCCCCCCCCCCC